GGTCTTCAAAACCCGCCTGGATGCCACCCTGTGCCACATGCTCTAGGTGTGCCTGCTTGAGCAGGAAGGTTGGACTAGATGATCTCTAGAGGTCCCTTCCAACCTTAAATATTCTGAAATATTCTGAAATATTCTGAAATATTCTAAGGAAACAGTTAAATCACAGTGTAAACAAAAAGTAGAGAGGGATGGATGCAAAGACAGAAAGGATCTACATGGTAATGTTAACATGGATTAACTCTGGAAACACAGTAGCCGCAACGATGAGAAAAAGAAAATTTTGCATTGAAAGAAGGCAGGACGAGGAGGAAACAATGTGAGAGCAGACATGCTGGGGCAATAGCTGAGAAAAGGAGTGAGATGAATTAGGAGACTTTGGGGCGGAAAGAACTCTGAGGACCATTATTTAATAGCGGAGTGAACGTGAGCTGGAAGATACCAAGAAAATGAGCTACTTTGGCCAAGGTGAGCAGCAAATAAACCAGTAAATAAACCAGGAGGCCTAGAGAAGAGATGGCTGCTGCGTATTCCTCTGGCAATCCCCACTTCAGACCCTGCAAATGCATACTTTCCAGAACAAGATGTAGAGCTTAAATTGAATTAAGTGGAGCATTTGCAGAATGTGACTATTAATCAAGTTTCTCTGAAACCCGGAGTCAATGCAGAAAATACAACATAGGAGTTATTCTTTTCACATTGGATTCTTCAGCAGTTGTTTTAGAGGAAAAATATATTTGTGAGATAAAGAAATTTTTCATATTGTCTCTGCACCGTTCATAAAGGCAAGTTATATTTGTTGATGTCTTTGTAATATTGCACTGTGTTGTAGAACATTGTCACAGAGAAAAAGATTGCTGTGCTGAGTAAACACAATTTATTTCAAATGATACATGAAAATGTCAGTTCTTCTGCTTGTGAATAGGTTACTGTTTTTCTGTAAGTACTCAGATGAAAAGATGATTGCTAACAGCAGGGCAACATGTCCACCTTTCAATGACTGCTGCGATACAAAGAAAAGAACTTGAGCTTGAGTTTCAAAAAATACTGTGGAGTGATGCACGTCATGACTGTCCATCAGGCGCTGAGTGGTCACATAGGAGAAATGAATCTGCAGCACAGCTGACAGTATTTAACTTTCTAAGCAGCTATTAATGTAAGGGATTCCGTGAAATGATTTCCATAACTACTGTGCAGTGCATCCAGCTTTGAACATGTAGGTCATAAAAAACAGGACCATTTCGGTAGTATTTCCAGAATCTCAAAAAACAATCAGAACCACCATCCCTTTCCCCTCCCCCAAAAAAAAGAAAGTATAAAATAAAATTTATAAAATAAAAAGTAAATGAGTTCTCCAAGCTGTCTATTGTCAGGCCCGCCCCTTTTTATTTAGTAGAATGGAAGGCACCTGGGGAATGCTATTATAGTGAGTAATGAAATTCCCAACAGATCTTCATGAAGAGACTGCATCCAGCAACATCTGCTCTAAAGAACACACCAGAAAAAAAAAGGTTGAGAAAAAGCAAATTCTCTTTAAATTCTTGGCTCCCTGCACAATGCAGCAGGAGGAAGTATTTGACCCTGATGCTGAAATGTTCTGAAATATATCCCTCGTGGTTAATGGAGAACCTGGCCCTCACCTGGTATGAAGTTGGAGCTGAAAGCACAGGCTCGGGTCTCCGTGGTGTTCCCAGAGCACTGGCTGCCCACGGGGAAGAGGATAGCACACTGGCGAACGCGGAATTGAGCTCCGGATGCGTCGCACTCAGACCACTCGGACCAGTCCGACCAGCTGTCTGTAATGGGCAGAGAGAGAGACATGTAGTGGTGTTAAATGCATCAAGCACATGGGATGAGAGCAAAAAGTTTCATCTTTCTGCACCAGATGGCCTAGCCCCTAGCTTCTGCAAAGCAACCAGGGACAGTTAGCAACATAAAGAAAATAGCTAGAGAAATATGTACGCACAACCTAAGAGAGGATACTTGTTCTACTGAAAAAAAATAGTATCTTGCAGACACATTTTTTTTTTCCTTTTATTCTGTTCTGTTTCGTAGTTGTAGATAGAGGAGGCTCCTTTATATCTCAGGTGGGATCTTGTTCTTTTCCTTCTGTCACGTATGGTTCATTAACAGCTTCTGTTATTTCTTTGGATTTCTTCCACTTCCTATGTGAACTTGATTAAGACATTTTTATTTCATACCAGACAATGTCTTTGTGATCTCAGAACATTTAAGTGAATTCACTCGAGTGCCATGAGATGCTGTGAGCTTGTTGAAGCCACTTCTCTTACAATTAAACCATTAAAACAAAACAAAACAAAAAACTGGCCTAATTTGATTCAAATTAGATTGAAGAACATTGAGAGAAATTTGTGAGTAATTTGAAACCTTGTAAAACTTTGTGCATTTTTTATGAATTGGCTGGCATATCAGAAAAGTCTCGTCCTACTCGGGCATCTCAATACATGACACAGATCCAGCATACATAGTTTGTACTTACACATTAATTTCCCCATAATCTTACAGGAAAAGGCTAAAACTAAACCTAAATCTAATGCCATAGTAAAGAGAAATGGACGGGGCAGACTGAAACAGCTTTAGCATGGAAAGTCTCCAGCAGTGGTGCAAGGACCATTTCCTTTGATGCTGGAATCCCAAGTGCATGGCATGGGCAGTCAGTGTGTCACTATCTGTCCCTTTTATGGAGAGGTCAACCCCATGCCTCTTGTATGCACTTAAGCAGACTCAGTTATCCTGTCCCGTCCCTTTGATCTCTTTATCTTTGAGGTATTCAAGACTTTCTTGCACTTCATGCAGATTCCTCACACCATTTTCTTTTTTCCAGCTCATTAAGGCTCCTCTCAATTTGCTCCTGAGTTCTCTGCAAAAGTCATAAGGACAGAAAAGAGAGAGAGCACTGTAAAGGTATTTAACTCTGCACTACTTTCTATCTTTAACATTGCAAGGCTTACTCAGATGTCCTGACTTCTGCTTTCAGCATTTTGTCTAGCCTTTGAAGTCAGTAAATCAAGCAGATCCTTTGGGTGAAGAAGGTGCCTCAGAAATATCAGGCCACTAGTCTATAAGATCATAAATTTCTTTCATGCAGAGCGTAATTTCTAAACGCTCAGCTGCTTTATCTTTTATTTGCACGTGTGAGCTAGAAGCTCAAGGACAGAGTGTATTTCTCTGCAATGCAGTAATTACTGTAAAAAATAAGATTTGCTGAACTTGGGACATTACAGACACTATTTCAACAGGTTATGCATACTGATAAACAGTCCATAAACCACTACTGACCAATAGTGCAGTAATTACATTCATATTAATTGGGGCTTTCTTCAGATAAACAAACAAACAAAAAAAAAAAAACACAAACATACAGTGATACAGCTCTTAAAATGAAGAATAATTAAAAAAATGATGTATGGTGAAGCCATAGGTCAGTAACTACTTTTAAGTGCATACTTTCACCTGGTTTTGCTATTAGTTCTCCACATCCTCAAAATTCCATGGTATAAAGACTTTGCAAATTTTTACTTTTTTTTTCCAATTTCATTTTTGTCAAAAAAGCACTATTTCAAATGCCAAGAAACCTATTCCCTTTCCATCACTTAAATAAACCTTATAAATAATTTCTATTTTTTCATATGTATTCATGTGCTATACATCAGTTTCTAGTATCACTGATATTTCTTTCTTGTACCAAACATGTCATTCAAACAGCAAATGTCATCAATGGTATTCCCAGATCTGCAGCAGCAGTAATCACTGGTAATGATCCGCATCGCAGTAAAATCACTCTGCAAGGATGCAAGAATAGGTCCAACCTGGATCATGCATAGCACTGGGGTCATTTGTGTCTCCTGTCAATGTGAAATAAGGGCAGTGAGGCAGTTTCTGCACATGAAACAAGGGCTTCATTCTCACAGCTAGTTATAAGACAGGTTATTTCAAAAACATATGGTAAATTTTTAATGAGACTGAAAGATAAATAAAATGCCACAGATACGTAAGACGAGTGTTCCACTCTGAAACTGCAGTGCTTTACAAAAGTGTTCACCTGCTTAAAACAGAAGGAAAGCAACTTCCCCATTTGTTCCAAAATTTGGTTAACAGGCTGAAATAAGCTGTAGAACTACTTGCACATTTTTGAAAGTTGTCATTTCTAGAAAAATGCTGATAGAAAATATATGCACAAGAGAAATAGCTATAATACCAGTACAATGAGCATTCCAGTTTTGACCTTTAAATATGCATTGGGATGCATTAAGTATCCCAAGACAGCTATATAACTTCTATGCATAAATATACACTACTTGTTTTGAACAATCAAGCCATTAACATCAATTTGTATTTTCCTTTTTTAAACCCCTTTCAGAGTGTTACACTAGTTTTAATTTTGACCAAGTAGGCACTTCTATTCTGCTGCAAGTTATGCAGCACCTGGAAAAGGAAAATAAGTAAAACTGCAGTTCTGCACAGGTAATAGGATCCAGAAATTCACACTAATAGAGAGAGTGCTCTCCTGTACATGACCTCATCATACGAACAGAAAATTTCTGCCATGCAGTTTAGAAACCATCCGTGAAGCAAAGTAACACAACGTGGTAACAGAATTGCTTGCAGGCACTTCTTTTTACTGTTACCTATAACCTGATGATCAGCAACAAATGAAAACAAATTTTCCCAGTGTCTTTTCACTCATGATTTTACCTTCTTTTTTATGCTTTTGCTCTCTATTTCTGACTTTAATTTCCCCCAAATTTGATGCTTTTTATAATTGTCAAATCCAAGTTACAAAGTCATGATCTGTAATATTATATAACTAGTAAGAGAGCTGACACATTTCATTTGCTAAGCACTTTAGAGTCATTAAAAAGATAATTCTCTGTTCCTTAACATCTGAATTTGAATAGCATATTTTGCAAAGATCTTTTTGGTTTGTTCTTGGTTTTATATGAAAAGAGGGCTTAATCAAGGTTTCATATAAGACAATATACACTTGAAAGAGTGATACTCATACTGTTAAATAAGCAGCCTCAGCATTTTGCTTGCTGGGGATGAGGTGGTGTCCAATAGGCGATATTCTTCTCTTACTGAATTCCCTGTGAGTGTAGCATAGAAGAGCTCAGTCTACATTTAATAAAGGAGAAAGATAACTTGCTAACTAAACAGCAGATTAAGGAAAAAGAAAAAAGGTGCAGTACTGTAAATGCCCCATTCTGCAGAACAGGAAAGCTGGTTCTTTTCTCATACCTGGACATGGTTGTGTGTTGCACAGTGCTTCTTCAGTATGGAGACCGAGGCAAATATCTCCCCCATATGCTGGAGCAGGGTTTGTGCATGAGCGGGTTCTCATGTAATGCCCTCCTCCACAAGTTGCTGAGCACTTGGACCAAGACGACCAACAAGACCAGCTTCCATCAACTGCAAAGACACAAAATGTCATATTCCTGCAGGCTGGTACGTAAAAAGATAATACAACCCAGTCTGCCTTTCTCATATCCTGTAGATATAATTCATGGCCTTTTAGCTCCCACCTAACAGAGGTCTATGGATTGGCTTAAACTTACTCCGCACAAATAAATTCAAATTGTTATGAAGCCATTGGTGTACTGGGAAGTCTAACAATGTTGCTTATCCATATAATATACCTTCAGAGGGATAGCCCAATAGTTTTAATGTCCAAAAAGCTTTTTCTTTTTTTCCTCATTTGTGAGCAAAAAAAATACCAGAACTTATTTAGCAGAAGTATTATAAGTCCCCCCAAAATTTCCAGTTATAAATAAAATTTAATCCAATAATATATAAGAGAATCTGAGTAAACCTGATTTTATTTCCCAAACTCAGGTGAGATTGTCTTGGCTCCACAAACTGTTTCAGTTTCTATAAGTATAGGGTTTGATGGGCCAATACAATGTTACAATCTTAACACATCTCCAGTTATAGCAGAATGATGCCCTTTCAAAAAAGCAATAGAAGGATGATCAAATGAAGTTGTTGCTGTAAGCTCCAAATACAGTTTTTTGAAGAAACACCAAGAGTTTTTTTCACTGTTATTTACTGCTTCAGGTTAGCCAAATTGCTTTGCAGTTGTGGTTTGAGGTTTCATAAAGCTTTTCTGAAAGTCAGACTGGATTTTACAAGTGTCCTATTTGTCAAAAAGCTTTTGATACTTGGTCAACAGATAAGATGCTATTGAGCGTTTGCCTTGTAGCCTACACTTGACTGGTTCCTTTGCAGCATGTTTCTGTTCTTATAGATCATATTTCTGGTACCTAAGGCCGTGTTGCAGCATATCTGCCAAAGGTTTCCAATACGCAGCCACATGACCAAGTTGGATTTACTTCTCCTAAATACAGAATATCCACTCAAAAGATTCTCAGTATTTTCATTTTCTTTCATTAATGATTAAAAACTGTAAAATTATTCAAATCCTATAGAAAAAGAATTCCTTTTCAAATCTCTGTTTAATGTGTTATCCATTTCCCTCTTCATACGTAAACAAAAAGTGAGTTTCTATTCGTCTATGTGTCTGCAATTTATTAAAAACAATATAGAGTGTGTAATTAAACTGACACTGGCAAATTAGGAAAAAAAAAATGTACAAAAAACTTGTCCATTCCTTATCTGCACTAAAATTATCTGAGACAGAGGCACTGTAAAATGTTAACAAATAACATTTTTGTTTTGATGGCATTGTATATCAATATGAACCTAGTGAGTCAAGCACAATAATATCTATTCAAAGATTGAAATTGTTAAAAAATGAGTTAGAAGGTGATTATTTTCATATTAAAATCTATATGTGCACTTAAGTATGTAATTTCAGATACAGCACATCCTCATATCCCCATGTACAAATCAAACAGATAACTTATTGGTGCATACTTAGTACAATTAGTTAACTGATCCTGAAAGTGAAGTTGTTGAATATCTGACATTTTATTTTGTATAGTTTTTACAATATTATTCTGTAAATTAAAAAATCATAAATTTGGCATTTCCTTGCCAAGAACATTAATGGAAATAACTGTGAGAATTAATATATCCGGCTTTTGAAAAGCCTAATTGGACAGAAAGGATTTGGGGAACTTAGTGCCATATATAAAGGATCTAATTTTAAATAAATTATTTCCAATATTGAGAAATAAATTGCTAGCCTTTTTTTTCTAGGATATATTCATTTAAAACTCAGCTGAGTCATCTAGCTATACAAATATATGGGCTTTACACCACCCATGGTAAACAAGACTGCATCTTGGTACAGTGTCTGACTCATTCCCTTATTCATATAACCACCAGGAAAAAAAAATCATGATATTTTGACTGTTTGCCTGAAAAGATTCTATTAATGTAGTATTACAGAAGTTGAGAAAGTCATAGTTTGCTTGTTTTCAACACAAATAAAACAAAAATGCAAGTTTATAACTTATAACTTTAAGACATGGTATGTCTTACCTAGAATTTGCATCCCTTTTATTTTTTATCCTTTTGTAATGACATCAGATAAAAGCAGAAACTGTTATCTAACTCTTCAATTCATGAGATATTAGATTAGTTTCTAAAACATCCTTCCTTCCTCTCTCCCTTCCTTCTTTACACCTTCAAGAAGTAGACTAACAGTCTAAGATTGATAGGACTGGTAGATGATACTGTGTATTGTTTGTTGAGACAGTGATCTCCCACACTTTCTTCTTATTTATCAATGGACTTATTTTAATAGAAAGGATTCGAAATATGCTTGCATTTCATATGGACATATGAAATGGTCACAAGCAACCAAGAACAGAGACCTAAAAATTCCAATGTCCCATAATGTCCCACAAATACAGGTATCATGGATATACCTTAGGATGTAAAGGGATAAATGGATCAATGAGGGAGATGGGAAAGGACAGGTGTAATGTAATAAAGAATGTTATTCATAATTGAGCTAGATGGTACAATGATAACTGTTTTTCTTACTATGTAATAATAGACCACCATTCTAAATCTCCAGGCCTTCCAAAACCCAACATAATTACCTGTTTTATTTATTCCCAGAACTTTTCCTCCACAGCAAAGGAAGATGATAAAGCATCACCACAGTTAAAGATGATCAAAGGAGTGGGTATTTACTACTTGAGTTTTTATAAAACCTAAACAGAACTCTGTGGTGTCTTTCATCTTTAAAGTTGCTTAGCAACACAGCACCATCTGTTTTGAACTTTTCTTTCTTTTTTGTCATTTTGTCATGGACTACTTAATGTTATTTCTGCTTCCTGTAGGAAAAAAAAATAAAGAGCAGCAAGGAAAACTGTAGGCAGTCACTACAGTCTTTTTACAAAATACTTTTGTCAAGCTGTTGGACAAAAGAAAGTAGCTAAAGTATTTCCACAATGAAAGTTACAGTCTTTAAGTTTCCTGGCAATTCCTGAGCTGGGTCTCTTTTTTGAAGAGGCCTCTTCATCAAGCAGGCTGCTTGAAAATAGTGGTTTTTCCTTTGTGTTATCTTCCCAAAAAAGACAATTTTTGCCTGACTGTTCTTCTGGTTAATAAATACTTAAATACACAAACAAAACAAAAAAAAGAAAAAAAGAAAAAAGAAAAAAGAAAAATTATGAGGAGGAGAATGCTTTGGGAGAGAACACATATAGGAACAAAAACTACTGGGGATGTGATAAAACATCCACACTACTGGAGAATTTACAAGAGACTTTTAGGTGAGCTGGATATCCTGGTATACAGCTTGGGATTTAATAGAAGATGGAGGAAAACACAGACAGACATAATCATGTTCCTTGCTTTCATGGAAAACAGAAATAAGACATAAGACTGAAGGCTTTCTCATATACTGTCCTGTCTCACTTCAAATGTGCATATCAAAAAAGAATCCTGTTTGTTTGTTTGTTTGTTTGTTTGTTTATTTTGGTGTGTTAAGTTTAGAACTTTTTATGTTTTTGACAGCTGCAAAAGAGAATAAATAATATTGAGAGAAGTCAGAGTCTTTTCCATTTGCAGGCAAGCATACAGATGGGCAACAGTCCCTTACGTTCCCAGGGAATGAGTCAAAGCAAAATCTTGTTGGGCAACTTACAGTCCTACCACAGTGCAGCTGCTTTCCAGATCCCTTGAGATCACCCCCTTGCACAGCACTTAGCCTACTGATCTCTCTTGTTCCTCCAGTGGGACATTGCTGCATATTTTCCACTGTGGGAAAGCGCAATTTTTACATCCAAGTTTGAAAGTTTTGTATCTGTGACGCTATAATTTACTTTTATTAATAAAAGTAATGTGGGATGTAACTGATAAGTGAACTCAGTGCATTGGAGAAACACAGAAGCAAACTAATGCTTCTTATCACAGCGGAACAAGAACTGGGTCTGTAGCAGGAGGACCTAAGTTAGCTGGAGGCAAAAAAGAGAAACAGACACTTCCAAAGGGCAGTTCAGCTTTTTCTTCACTTGCTATATAAGACTCTTATACAGATCAATGAATGAGGAGTGATTTCAAGGGCTTCAGAGACAAGCATTTTTGACACTTCAGTATTTTTTCCCCTGATTCAGGATGTTACTGCAGAATAAGTTTGGTCTATATCTTTAAACATAATTCTGTTTTCTCATGGCCAATGATGACTGAAAAGAAAGAAAACGGAAGGAAAAACAGTAAAAGCAATAAAGAAAAAAAAATCAGCATGTAATATCTGGCTCCAGGAGTTGCATAAATAACTTAGTCTTTTAGGGTCTTTTGTGATATTTGAAACTCTTCATTGCTATTAACACATTTACCAATATGTAGATGCCTGCAGCTAACTTACTTTTTATCTGAGCAAAAATGTCATAAACAAACAAACAAACAAAAAAACTATTAAAAATTTGCAACTAGTTGAAGTCTCAAACAAAATATTGTAACTTAAAATCAAAGATAGAAACTGTCCTTTTTCTCTGAGCCAGCAATACTATCTGAGAAGAGAAAACAGAAGCTCACTCACAGATGATCATGTAGACATGCTTTAAACTCCTAATTAAGGTACTTCAGGAAGTGCCTTTATGTGCAAAAGCATAAAAGAGAAGGAGAGTAAAAGAAAAAAGAAAAAGCAACAAGAAACAAGACATAACAAAGCTAAGAAAATGCTGTCTTTTGATCTAGTTACAACTGGGGAAGTCTACGATACTGTAAGCCAGGACAGAATTCCTTTGATTTGGTTATTAATATTTTCAGTCTTTCAGTTAGTAATTGTAACTTTTCTTCTTAAATTGACAGAATTTGTCGTTCACATACTGCTTTGCTTCATCATGTACTTCTTATAACTATCCCACAATCTCCACATTGACTCACTATTCAGATGAAAAGATTAAAAAAAAACTTATTATATACAGCTTCCTTTCTTCCCATATTGACCACATACTAGTTACTGAAACAAAAAAGCAATGTCAGTGAGTGCTCACAAATCTTCATTGTCCCTGAGACTGTTCAGTGTTTGCCAGTTCAACCCTATTCACTGTATCTCTGAATCATAAAAAAAGGAGTTGAGACATACAGCTCAAACATGATCTGCAAGACAACAGTGCAAGTGCGATTCTTTTATCTATCTATCTATCTATCTATCTGTCTGTCTATCTATCTATCTATCTATTTATTTATTTTCAGTGAGTTGAAACTGGTGGGTTAGTTTCTTTAAAAAACATATCTATTTGACACTAATGACAGCACGACTGTATTCAGATTTTCCAGCTATGTGTTGGCAGCTGGAAAAGTGAAGTATGCATACATGGTAATGCTAGAATGTAAGTGAGGATACCGGTAGATTCCCCCAAATTATTTTCCTGGTAGATATAGCAATACCTGGTTTCTCAGATTTCATTTACTTTGCCAAGTTCCACTGATCTTACCAAAGCACTTAACCAGAAAAGATAAGACTTCTTTTCCTTTCTTTGCTAATTATTACAGTATCTAAATAGAGGAACAGTGGTCTAATAGATTGAAATAGGAGTTGAGACTCCTATAAACTTGAGACAAGCTGTCTTTGCTCCTAGATAACTTCCCTAGATAATCTCCCTGTGCTTCGTTTGAAACATCTCTAAGCAGAGGTTGTGGAGCAAGCACCTGAATCCAGCCTCATGAAATACTCTGGTAATATCTGTCCCAGGATAAGCCCTGCTGCTGGCACAGACACCATCTGGCACAGAAGAGCATACCCATATTACTAGAGTCCAAGAGGAGGAGTCCTCTTTAAAGCAGTTGGTCCCATAGAGACCAGCCTTGTCTTACACGAACTCCCAAAATATTTCTGCAGATTATTTGGGAAAGTGCTAGTTAGCCCCAGCCAAAACTGTATAGGGGATCACTTTGAGACTTCTTCAGTAGAGACAAATTATATTCCGTGGCCTGAGTACAATTTCTGGCACCTTTCTGGCACTATTCAATTTTTAATCATATATTCACCCTTCAAATATAATGAACGAAAAGTAATCTGCTCAGTGATTCCTACCAACGCACACTTCAATGGATCATTTACTTTGCTAAGAGTAGGAAAAGTCTTGCCATTTCTTTCTTCTCCTTTAGACTGCAGAAAAATTTAAAAGTAGCTGCCTGACTCAGGTTCTAGACAGCTTTGGTATTTTTTGTAATTTATGGTATCCTGTCGTACATTAAATAGTAAGTTATTGGGTATTAATAAGCTCATTTAAAACTAAGGTACAAGATACTTAACCATATAAGAGTCTTGTACAGTTGGTGTTTGCTACGCTGGTCTTTTTCATTGCATCAGTCCTTCAGAGCACTTCCTATCTGCCAAATGGCACTGAGCCCAACTTAAATGATTGAGAAACATAAAGTCCTATCAACTTCCAGCAGGACTTAAGAACTGTTGAACATATTTCCCCATCACTCACCTTTACCACCATGTTAAATTACAAGGATTTGCTCCTGTCTGATAACAGATGTATCATTAGGCCGTCAGCAGAATAGTTGAACAAACAGAACCTGAGACTGGATTTATTAACAGAAATGTTTCTTTACAGATGCCATCTCACTCCTTCTTAATAACCTGAATAATTTTGAAAGCCTAAAGACTGCACAGACTACAGACTGTGTAGTTCTGTAGAAGAAGGGAGCATGTGAAGCTGTGCTTATCTCAGAATGGCTCAGATATATTTTGCAAAGCATTTTTTTAATTGTATTTTTATTTCTAGTACTAGTCAGTAAATCAGGTTTGGGGTCAGTCTCTGCACAGTCCCTGTTTTTATATCTATGTCCACAGTGCTGAGAAGGGACTGAAACGTTTATTCCTACTTGGTCACTACATGTCCATCTGCCTTGTCTGTCAAGTCAGTCAGACCAAAGGCTCTTTACCCGTATCTTCTCAGTGAAGAAATATAGATGTGGGGATCTACTTCAGATTGTCTACAATGCATAAAATTCAACCTAATGCTTCTCCATTTCTATCCATCCACTTAATTTTCTGGGACTAGGACCTAGAAAACGGAACATTTCAATGTGATTAATATTCCTCTCCAATAAAAAAATTACTTCTTTTCTACACATTTACATTGAATTTCTGAATAAGACTTATCCTGAATTTTTTTACTTCCCCTTGTTAAAAAAGAAAAAAAAATCAGTTACATCTGCCACTTTCATTGTTTTTCCTTCAGAATTATCTGAGAATTTTACTTGGGTCCCTATATTTCACTTTAATTACTGGCAGATTGTAGATCTGTGGCTGAGAATCTTTGTGATTCCTTGAAGGCTACACCTAAATACTTCATATAAGATGTACATCTTTATTGAAACCCAATTTGCACTAAAAATAAAAAAGAAATCTGTCTCTTAAGAAAGATATTAAATGTACTCCTGCTTGATTCAAGAACATTTTGTTCTAACCAAACTTGAAAAATACTTTCAAAGCCAGAGACAGCTGAAATGCAAATAATTTGGATACAGAACACAACTTCAACTTCCAGCTTACAATTTTATGCTTTCAATTTAGAGTGTTGACTTATTTGGATAACATAGGTCTCTATATAAAACTCCAATATTCCAGCTACGTCTCTTACTGGTTTCCTTCAGAAAATGTAACAGTGTACTAGTTATAAAAGTACTCAATACCACTCTGAAAATTTGGCAACTTATTTTAACTTCAAAAAAAAAAAAAAAAAAAAAAAAAAATCCAACACAACATTTGATTCAAGAATCAATAGAAAGGGAAAAACAAGAAGTCTGGACATTTTAGAGATTTCGTTATAGCATGCAATAGGGCTGTGCAAATGTGTGGAGATTTGGTTTCTCACATGACAGTGTAGACAACACCTCACTCTCTACTTTCAAAACATATTATTGAGGTTGAACTTAAGCAGAAAGTATGCTTTTGAAGGAACTATTGAGTCCTTCAGTCATTATTTTTCTGCTTCTCCACCATTCCTAATTACTTTCTACACCTTGAATTCTCCCTTCGTATTCCAATTGCACTTTCTTTTCTTCATGTGTTCTCTCATATCTTTCTTCTTTTATTTTCTGTAAAGCATTCTGCAAGGTTCAAAAACCTTCGAACTTGCATGTTTGCTTTAGGAAGGGTGAGAAGTGACTAGAAATAAGTTTTTTTTGGCGTTTTTCCCAAAAGTCTATGATACAGAAATGGTTTATAATCCAAAGTTGTTCTTGAAAACATGTGTCTTACTTGCAATTTTTTTTTTTTTTTTTGTAGAATTATAAAACATCTATTAGAGAAGGAGAAGATCATGATTCCAAGAATAACCTCTACCTCACAGTCTATTTAAGATACCAGCTATTTTGGTGTTTTGTCCAAAACCTTACTTGATCAACGATGTATGCTCACAAGCTGGCAAGAATTTAATTCAGCAGCCTCAGCAACCATTGTGATGAAAATTATATTTAAAGGCTATAAAAATGTTCTTATAACTTTTGTTTCCTTTCTTAACGCTTATGTTTAAAAAGTTACATTTTTACAATCAACCTATCTCAAGTGAAAGAAGACATAGCTACATTTATGTTGTTGCTGATAAACTGATTGACATTGTGTCAGCGTCTTGCCCAAATTCAATTACATCACAAATGTAACTAGTTGTCAGGATTCCAGTTGATATTAACACATTATTAAGCAAACATAAGAATATCCCTCTTGCTAGAGGCCAAATCATACGATTTCTTGAAAAGACAACAACAACAACAAAGTCATTTCCATTTGATACTTATCCTTTATCATTCATGCTTGAGATGAGATAAAAAATATTTCTGCAACATAAAATATAACAGGTTTCACCGCTATAAGCAATTACCATAACTGGGTTTCTTAATATAGCAAATGATCATCAAAATTTCTGTGTAGACTCTTGGCAAGCTCAGCTGAAATGGGCTAATTTGTTTCCTTGGAAATAAAAAAGGCCAGCAAAATCAGCTGCTTGTGCTACAGTTTATTTTAAAAACAAACAAACGGAAAAACACACACGAGTAAACAAGCAAATAAAACTATTGCAAGATCCAGCCTTGAAAATAAGATCTATTATTTTCATATCCTTCTCTCATTTCAGTTGACTCTTACCTGGACAAGGCAAAATGTTGCATTCTTGGTACTCCAGAGATGGGCCGAGGCAAGGAAGTCCCCCATACTTGGGCTCGGGATTGCTGCAGACCCGTTTGCGGCTCCGTATACCTCTGCTGCAGTCACGGCTGCACTGAGACCATGGAGACCACGGCGACCAGGCACCGTTGATAGTATGAGCAGAGTATCGTCCAGAACGCAAGAAATCTCCTGACAACCCTAATAAATAATGATTGAGAAAATAATACTGAATTAAAATAGCATCTCCCCCAAAAACCAATCTTTTCTTCTTCAAATTTACTGTTAGGCTATTAATAGTAAGAAGACAAAGAGAATCACATCCTTTAAACTCACAGACCAAATTCTAGTTTTGTCTCTGCTATAAAGGAAATTTAATAACCACTCATTTGCTCACTTCAGAGAAGAGTGGGATCCAGCTTCTTCATTCAAGTTCTACAGCTGCATTGGAATTAATAGTGAGTGAATTTCAGGCAATTTGTGCCACCCAAGGATGATAAAAAATACCTATCTCCTACCCAGTAATTGTCATCAGCAGATCTGTTTATACATACATTATATAGGTATGGTTTGAAGAGTAAGAAACAGTCATAGCAAAAAGTACTGAGTTGCCTGGAGTCATTCATGGAGCCAGTGACAGATGCAGTACTCTATCCACCTGATCATCCTGCCTCCACTAGCACTTGTTGTGCTCAGACTTGGGTAAGTGTCCTAGAAAGGAAGGACCAGTATTTGTGAACACACAGAATCCTGTTCAGAGTATATGTCCAATATGCCTTGATGTAGTCCTGGGTCGAGTTCTTATAACATTTTGCAGCTAAGATGAGAATGTCAGTCTTGAGCTTGGTCCTGTGGGGAAACAGATGTCCTCAACTACATGCAGCCTAACTCTTGAGCTGCAGCATTATCTCCACATTTCAGTGATATGACTGGGATTTCTTGCTGTTGTCAAAGCAGTTTACATTCATAAGGGTTACCATCACATGCACACTTGATAAGAAGAAACTGTTGAGATTTATGAGAAAACAGTGAAAAGATTAGTATTAAAATGACTAGAAATGGGTAAAATCTTTCAGCAGAAATAGTGAGTAAATATGTTCCTCTGCTGAATTAGATTCTATTGCACACAGATATTATAAGTAGCATTTCAAGAAACATGACACAGATTCAAATCCAAAATGTGACAGACTGCAAAGAAAGAGTTTGGAAATTAGAAATACAGGTCTAATTTCTAGCTCTGTAAGAGTTTTTTTTGCCAGTTTCTGTGTTGGTCACAAAATGTCCAGTTTACATGTACGGTGAACTGTGAGACCAAAACAAATATATTTTTTTCAATATCAGAATTTCAAATCATTGTATTTTAGCTAATAAATTGATGGTAGTGCAAACACAAACCTGTTCTTAAGACTGGTTTATCAGGCCTTCTCTGGATGAAACAGCATACATCTCTTTATATCATTATTAAAACATTCTGAGGGCACTTTATCAGGATGGGATAGGATAAGCTTTTCAGTTAAGGAAAATGTGTAATCTTATTTGTCATATTAGATTTCTTGCAATATGAAATGGATGAAGGGGCAAGAATCTTTTGTGGGAAGCCTCTGAGGTGTTTTAGCTCCACATCATCCAAGACAGGAACATTTTATCAAATCTTTTTAGTGTGTCTTTTGGTCAGCAACAATTGTTTGCTTGTGTTTTCTTCTTTCTAAGACATTTAAAATTTATTACAGGGTCAGCCTTTCCACAGTTTTACAGCAATTTATATGAGGCTCATAGAGGGATTTATAGAAGTTTTTCTTTGGACAGAATTTGTAGATCATTAAAAATATCAAGATCCATTTGCACTCTGTATATATAGTGTCATATTTAAGTAAATGGAAATATTGAAAAAAAAAGAAAAAAAGTAGAAATGTAATATTTTTGAGCCTAGTGAAGTTTCAACAGGCTTCTTATGGAAAGTAGACATGAACTATCTATCTCCTCTGTTAAAGAGGAGACTATTCAAGAACAAATTCAGACTTGTACCTGCATCCTCTCAGTTCCTACACCCAAAAACTCTACCTAGAGGTCACCACCTTTGCTGATTCTATTCAGAAGTTACCTACAATTTCTTGTAATAGGGAAACACTGTGAAGAGATTCTAGATCCATTTTCCAAATTATAGAATTCCCCTGATATGTGGAGAGACCATCAGAATCCTTCAGATAAAGCAGAATGAACCTATAAAAGGGACTCCTACTTTTCTCATGAAAGTGTTGAATTCTTGCTGGCCATTTCATCTACCTGTTTGAGTTTGTAGAGGTTCAACGTCCACCTCCAACAACAGAAAATGAATTGTGCCAGTCAGAAGAGAGGAACATTAAGCCTTCTGTATTTTTCTGTGTACTCAAGGTGAACGTCTCTGACCAGCAGAAAATGCAGGGGACAGTGCCCTTAGCTTCAAAATAGCAAAAGTCTGGTTGCTAAACATACCACCTGAACTCTCCTTATTAAATCCTCATCTAAGGAAATACAAGTGAAATCTGAAAAGAAGCAATTTAAAGTACACTGAGTGCATTATGTAATACCTGTGAATCCGTTGGTTAGTCTATAGCCAATTTAAAGCTCTGTGAATGAATATAATGTTTTATATGTGTTTTTAGCTTCCTAACAAGCTTGATTTTAGTTGTTTGGAAGTTGCACTCAATTTGCTAATTGCAATACTCTGAGGTTAGAAAAAGGAATTTAATGACTTCATTCCAGTAGGACTTTAAACAGGCAGTTGTGCTTCCCTAAAGCAAAACTTTCAATAAGTGAAAACAAGTACTGCAAAGGTTAAGTAAAAAATCACGCATTTTATGCCAGAAGAACCAAACCATCAGCTTCCAAGACAGCAGGATAGAGATACGGACAAACATTTAAATGAACGATTTTACTCTCATTGTAAGTGCTTACTCATTCTTTAGTACGGACAAGGGCACACGGAACTTAGCATGGCTTCACTGCCAACTTCCTCTTTCTAGTGGTTAGCAACAGCAAGGCTGTATAATGAACAAAGTTTCCCTATTTAAACTATATAATTCTGACCTAAGCTGAGACTATTTGACAATGTCTCAACTATTTTGCAATACTTCTTTGGTCAAATTAGTCTTTTAATATCACTAAATAATAACCTTGTTTGGAAATGTTAGTGTGAAAGTTCTGTGCCTTGGACACGATTCTTCTTAAAAATTGTAACATTTCCTGATGAGTTCTATTTTTGACACTCAGTAAAACACTCTTCTTAAATGTCTTATGTTACAAAGCCAAACCATCAACAAAGCTTTTACACTTACAATAATACTCTGGTCTAGTCTCCAGCTAAGGAATACAGCTCCAGATAAGAGAACAGGAGAATAAATTTCAACTAATCAATCAGCCTAGAATCATGACTATGAGGAAAAGATGATCTGGAGCTAAGATTTAAGTATCCTAAATCATTTCTAAATGACTTTCATGCAGCAGGCAACATGATAAGCAAAGATTGTTTTCTGAAGATGTTGATGGTATCACTAAAGAATAAGCTTTGAAAACCCACATGTGACATTATGAGAGGATAAATATTAAGGCAATGTAAAGATGACATTTAAAAGGCTGGCAGTTTGCAGAGCGAAGATTTCCACATTATGAGGAGAACTTTAGTTCTTGCATCTATTTTTTTCTGTGTGTGTTTAATCTCAAAGTTCCACTGAAGAGGTTTTGTTTGTCAAGCTAAGATTTTTTACCAAATTCAGATTTAACAATTTATTGTGTTCTTATCTCAAATTAAGTCATCTTAGCTCCAGTAAGACAGGACAAGAGATAATATGACAGCATGTATTCCTCCCAGCTACAGAATATTATAGATGTTATGTTCTCAGCTACATACTGAATACACTATGGGTAACACTGGGCTTTAGTATGCCCACTACACTAGAATTTAAGACAAAATTAAAACTCAGCTTTTTAAAGAAATATATTTTTTAAGTTAGGTATAGTGAAAGTAGTAAAATATTGGGAATCTGAATTCTGTCTTGCAGTTGTGTTTTTCTATGTCCTTTGAAAAAGGAGGGTAAATTAGTATGTTGGGTGTAGATATCTAACATAATTCACAAGCACATATTAAAGGCCATGGTAATGCACTAGATTGTTCTAGTTCTAGACTATATGGACATTCATGTTAAGCTGTGCCTACAGAATCTCTCTTCATTTATTTCAAATGTCTGTCCCTTTCCCAGCTGAGCACTACACAAAAAACTCAGATGCTGACATAAAATGGATTTTTTTTCCTCCGACTCAAATCAGTCAGAGAATCATGATTATAGAGTGCAAAAGCTACTGCATGATTGGTTGATTGATTGGTTTCCAGTAGAAGCTTTACTATACTCAATAGTCCTCTTCTTTTTCTTGGCAAGTTCTACCTCTCAGCTCATAATCCAAAGAAAGTATAATTTCCTAGTGCCTGACAGTGAAAGTATTTCTGTTTTAAAAAGCATGACTATAGTTGTAAAGTGGGAGATTATGGGAAATGAGAAAATTACTAATAGCTCTCCCATGCAAAGAACAGATCCGATCTTTGCAGAAGACATTGGTAATGAGGTACATCAAGCACTCTCACTAGCATTAATCTTTCAATAAAAGCCAAAAAATTGTAACGGTTTAACATGAAGATAATGAAAGGAATGTTTCATGGTATGCAGGCTCTGGTGAGGATGAAGTAAGTTGTGATGTTTCTTTGTGAGATCCTTCTATTCTTAAAGCTACAGCTATACTACATCATCATCACCATCACATGTGTTTTCTTCCCAAGAAATCAAGCAGCAGTGGAAGCATGGTGTATGGACCAAAAACCAAATCTGGGATCAGGAAAGTACGCCTGGAGACCATAGTTTAGAGACAGTAATTTTCATCATATTGACCAACCAAAATAATCATCTCTTGACCATTCCATTCCATAATGGTCTGACATCTGTAATCAGAAAACACCTAAGCAAAGAGGCTGAAAAAAAGACATGGCTACCAGAAACATGACAGTAACTCCTCTATTCAAAAGCATATGAGCTAATACATGCACTTGAAACACTGGAGGGCTGGGCTTGATCCTTTCCTTTGCCCTCTGGCATTTGCACCCATACCTCTAGCCCCAAAGAGAATATATTTGGTACTAGCCTTTCCATGTAGTTGTTAAAGCAATTTCATTATTCATGAAATAATTAAAGACTCACTGACCAATGAAAAAGTCAAAGAATGCGCACAAATTTGTGACACAGGTATGAAGGCACTTGTTAGGAAGAATGAATAGATGTATTCTAGTTCCTGCCCTGCCAGCTACTCAATATGAAGTATTTAAATGTTCAGTAGTACTGGGATTAGTCAGCAAAGATCCTCTCAGATGAACACTCCAATTACTAGGCAACAGAGTTATTCTCATACCTTTGACTAATGATTATTTCCAAAAGAAGCAAAATAGCGGCTTCAGCAAGATGCAACAAACAAGCTCCAATGCCAGAACTCTCAGGAATCTGGTGTTCAGAAGCCAAAATAAAATCAGACAAGATTCAAGATAATCAGGCAAAGAATGCATTTGAATCCACACCTTTGTCTCTTGCACTCTTCCTGAATACAACATGTTATTTAACAAAAAGTAGGCACTATATTTGGTAAGAAAGGGTCAGCATACACAACCAACTCTGAGAAAGGACTTATGATCATGAGTTCATAGATGAGAAAGGTGTCTCCATGATTAACTTCCGTGTAGCAATGTGATTTAAGATGCACTTGCTCTTGCACTTGAGGTACTGTTTACTGAACGCATTTGCTTTAACATGCTCCATCCCTTATGGGAGGATATCTCAGCTGTCAGTTCTACCATATATGATATCTAAATTCTTCTGTAGATCTCTTTCTAATTATTTTCATAAGTCTCTCAATTCAGTGCTATCTGGCTAAAAATATATATCCTCTTTCTCATTAATCTCATAAAATTTCAGAAAAGATTCATAAATGTTTTTGCCACCATGATTCAGGAGGACAAGAAAGGTTGGTCAAAAATCATTACTACTAAAGTAATATCTTTGCTAAATGCTAAACTTAATCTAGAAGAAAACAGGAAAATAGTGGAAGCACTTCCTACAGCAATTGCTCCATACCAAAATCTGTTTTATTACTCAGACCTAGCAAATAAACACTGGAGACTGCAGTTCGGCTAACATCCTTATCTGGATGGCCAGGGGTTTTATTTTAGTATTTAATTTGGTTCGTTGTTATTAATTTTGCAAAACATTTACTAACTTGCCTTCAAAGAAGCATAGATGATCACATTAATCAAAAAACATATAAAGGATAAAGAGGAGATGCTTAACACTGCTTTTCATAATAGTTGGATTTGACTGTCCAAAAAAATATTGAGGATTACAAAGTCTGAGGTCTCAGAAATCTTTTCTTTTTTGTGCTCTCTGTTTATTTTTTTTTTCTAGCCCACCTGGGTGTTGTGAAGACACAGAAATGTATATAAATGGAAAGTAGGTCAATAATTAGTGAGCTATAATAATTAAGTATCTGTATTTCATTAAAATATGTAATTATAATATAAAACGAAATACTGTCATATAAAGAAATGATGACATATAAGTATGTATGTAAAAGTATGTATGTATGTATAAAAGTATGTATGTATATAAGTATGTATGTATAAAGAAATGATGACATATATGTATGTAGTTATAGTTATATATAACACGTACAATTATACTTGGTTTGTGTGTATATATGTGTATATAAATTATTCAAAACTACATGTCACTAATAGGGAAAAAAATCAGAAATAAAATAACTCAAATCTAAAGGCATCTAGATTTAAAAGGCATTTTAGGGGAGTTGATTTTTCCATCTTAGTAACAAACCAAACTTTAAAATGCTGGCAATAGCAAAATATAAACTTTTATAACAGATATTACCCACTTCATAGGCTGCATGAATCTGACAGTTATTACCTTACTGAGTAAATTACTTTAGCAAGAATTACTAAGCAAAAAGTTATATTCATTATCCATTCTAAGTATTCCAGCTAAATACTTATAAAATACCTTAACATTGCAAAAACTCTCACAAGTAAAATGTAACCAGAACATGAGGAGATGAAAGAATTTCTCCAAGAGCTAGACCACCAAGACATCGACTGCAGATTAATTCAAAGGATGTAAAAATAACCTAGCAAATCTCACAGTGGTTAAAGACGCCTCATCAGTATCAATGACTAAGCTATGCCCTGAAGAAATAAAAAAGTACTTTCCCCATCGTCATCCTCGTATGAGGAGAGACTGAGTGAGCTGGGCCTGTTTTCTCTGGAGAAGAGACGGCTCAGAGGGGATATGATTAACATGTATAAGTTCAGGAAGGGAGAATGCAGGGAGGAAGGGGACAGGCTGTTTTCATTGGTGGCCAGCGATAGGACGAGGGGTAATGGACATAAGTTGAAACACAGGAAGTTCCATCTCCAGGTGAGGAAGTACTTCTTCACTGTGAGGGTGACAGAGCCCTGGCACAGGCTGCCCAGGGAGGTTGTGGAGTCTGCTTCTCTGGAGATCTTCAAAACTCATCTGGATGCCGCCCTGTGCCACATGCTCTAGGTGTGCCTGCTTGAGCAGGAAGGTTGGACTAGATGATCTCTAGAGGTCCCTTCCAACCTTGAATATTCTGTGATTCTGTGATCCTCCTGCCCTCCTTTACATTTACTATGCTGCCAAGCAAAATACCAGCCAGCCAAAGCTTACACCCTGTGTTCTAGAGGGCACTGCAGGCATTTTGCTAGCCAGGGGCCTTGCGCAGCCACTCCGTCTCTGCTCACCGTCTGTTGAGCAGCCACTGGTGCCGTCGCTGGAGCAGTAACGCATTTCGATCCTTTGCCTCCCCACCTCCAACAGATTCGGGTCAGGCAGGCGCGCTTTGCACGTGTATCGGAATCGCTGCTCATAGTGGCCACCATTGTCTGAAATATTGACCGGAGTCCAAGGGGTCCAAGGAGTCGTCTTTTTTAACTCTGGGCAGGCATTGGTGTTACATGGTTGATATTCCTGAAAGAAATTGGTCAGAATGAGAGCAAACGTTTAACGTTACCTTAAACAATAAACAACCAGCAAGAAACTCTCACTGATATTTCTCCATTTCCAATAGCTGCCAAACAGTTCCCTTTGGTGCATGTTCCCAGCATTACCAGACTCACTATCAGTAACTTCCTTATGGATTGATATGCACTGGAGGGAACGGACCATATCCAGCAAATGTGGTACATGGCAGCATTCTCCAGCTATTCTCCAGAATGAATTCACACTGGAAAATCATAGAAGGCAAAAAGTAGTAGTCATCAGTGGGACAGCAATTTAGAAATGATCTCTCTACCTCTAACTTCTTAGAGATCCTCAGAGGACCCCTTCCTCTAAGGGTTCCTTAAAAATATATAATATTTTATATATATTTAAATTCCTCTAGACACCAAAAATCACAGACACAATAAAAATAACACTTAATAGTTTAGTTTCCTTCTTCTGTTATCCCTACTTCTGCTGATATAAACATGTTTCAATGGTTAATAAATTTCCTGCTTCTCTTTTTTCCCGCTGGAGAAAGGGATGGAGATGCAGAGCTCTAGAGGTCCCTTCCAACTTCGATCATTCTGTGATTCTGTGAACCCATAACAGTGACTTCGCAGGGACAGCTAGAAGGACCCCTAAAATAACTCAGGTTACACTCCCAATTACTTATTCACCTCCATTGAATCCTTCATAGGATCCTCCATATGGAGGAGGAATCCTCCTCCTCCATAATCTACTTTAACAGCTGGATTATAATGCATCTTTTAGAACAAACACTCACTCTCTTCCCCATAACACACATTTTAAAATATATTAGACATATATTTAGCACTGATTGCATCCATACTAGGGCTGTTCGTCTATTTAGTAATACTTCATTTTCCTCCCTATTTTAAATTTCCAGTTCCCGAATTTTGCTGTTCCTTTATCAACAATGCTGAAAGAGCTCCCTGTCCTGCACCTATAAATGCACTTTTCACATCAAATACCCCCATATAGTAATAAGCAAAGCTGCATTTTTTTTTAAGTTTCATAACGCATAAAAGCTGATCTCTAGGTCCTGTGCATCCTATGTCTCCCTTTTGCCCTATTTTTGGATCTTAAGACTGAAAACCAAAACTTGACTTCTCACTTGAAAGCACTCCTATCAACACAGCATACAGAGGTAAGAACTTGACCCTATCCCCCTCAGTAGTCTCACTTTAATATAGACATCTATTGTGTTAATGCTTATCCCTTCCAGAGTACTGCACAAAGTGCTTATGTAGAACCAATTATCTCTGACGATCTAGTCTTCCCCTCAATCTCAGTTTTACAACTCCATATAGCTTCCTATTCCACACAAGTGATTGGTGTTTGGCAATATTAAAACATATTTTATTAGCTTCTGTAATTATCTACAACATTATTTACAACAACACTCTTTACAACAATCTCTATGTCACAGTCAAGTTCTCCTGATCACGTATTATGTTACAGTCTAGACTGTTAATAAAAATGTTAAGTGCTATAGATCCATGAATTGATTCCAAAGAGATCTTGCTAGAAAACTCCCCAGTCATTTATATCTGTCTATTAACACCACATTTTTTTTCAATTTGTCAGCGGGCCAGCTTTTAATCCATTTAACATTTGCCCTCTTAATTCCATATATTTAGTTTCCCAAATTAAAGTATGTTTTGTTGCTAATACAAACGTCCTAGAAAACTCCAATGACTGGGAGAAGTCCTGAAAATATAAGCTTTTTTTCTTTTTTTTTTTTTTATGTGGTTGCTACCAGATATAGTTGATACTAAATATAAACTGGAATAATTCAGTGAAGCAATTTCAGCAATATTAATAATTATTTCACAATGATGTAAGGGCTTCAGTTCTTCTTTGCTATTGTTTTTTGTATTGTTATTTTTCAAATCAGAAAGAAAAGTTGCTAGAAACTGGAAGTCTTTCTGAAGTCAATATGGATTTGATAGTTGAAATAAGCATGTGAAATAAGCAAAAAAAACACCAGCTTTTCAAACAAAAACAATAAATGGAGGAACCAGATAACTTCGAATTAACATGTTTAATGCTACTTTGTTAACACATTTCTAAGATGAACTGATAACTCACATATTCTAGAAAGACAGGTTACTAGCAATGAATGGGCTTCACAATATATGGTCCCTACATACACTCTAAGACCTGATATATTCTTATCCTGTTGCCTAACGCAGAAAAGAAAGACATTGCTAAATATGGTAAGGAAAATCAAGGGAAACAAATGTCCATGAAGATTACTCCTATCAGAGAATACCCACAGTATTAAATAATCCTTCTCTTGAGAAAATTCGCATGTGCTTTCTACCAATGGGCAACTCCAAGGTGTCATAGCATCAATAACAAGAGCTCCACCTGCTGCCTTCGTGAACAGGGCATCCCATACTCACAGTTGGTCTTTTCTAATTATTTTTTTCAATTTCCTTTATCAAGAATTGCTCTAAAGAACAGCACACAGGTACTCATTCTTTACGTATCTGTTACCAGTGCCTAGCTAGCCTGCTCAGGAGGGACTTTAGGAAATGTTGGGAAATAAGCAGTGCCACTTGCAGACTTAGCGTCCATTGACCCTTGCCTCTCAGGTTGAGAGGCCTCTATAACAGCCTTGAGCACACTCCAAGGCTTCAGCTCCTCTTTGCTTTTTATCCAATGCTAGAATAATTACAGAAGCGGGATTTCAGACATGTGGCACTCTCCAAAGCAAGTTAAGCAGCTAGAATGATGGATTCAATAATAAAACGTCACACACAGGTATCAATGCCTCAGATGAAACCACTGAGCCAGGAAACCAACATTAAGAGCTAGAAAAACATAAGCAGTGAAGTGTTCTGCTTTGTGGCTGAACTCGCCATATTGTACTTTATTGTGGGTTAATCAGTTGAGATTTGCTAATTTTCAGTGCAGACAGAAATGCAATAAACCCAATAAAGACTAGATTTCTGAGAATAGCTCAACATGTAGGGGGGGTTATTTGGCAAAATATTGAATTTGGAAATTATTAAATCACAAAAAATATAAATGACAAAACACTTACTACTAAAAGTAGACTGAAAAAAAAAAGAATTAAAAACAAATCAACTAACACTATTAAAATTAAAGTATCCAGTTCTCACATAGCATATTGACAGGAATGTAAGAAAAGACATAGTAAATTAAAATTCAGTTACTTTACAATGACATAAGATTGAGTATACTATTAGTCATGTACTTTGTTTCTGTGTTTAAGTAATATTGCTTCCTGTGCATAATGAAAAAGAATAGAAATATGTTATGTATCATGATTTACTTAGACTTTATTTGTATTACTTTACAAAAAATATAATATTAGCAAACCATATCTTATTTTAAGCTGAAAGAGACTGATTCTAAAATGTAGAACAGAAGTCTAATATTTCCACTTGGAAGCAGTGGAAGAAAGACTTCCATTTTTTTTTTTTCTCTTTTCTACATCACCACTTTTTTCAAAGTTTTTAGGAATCTATCTCTAAGACTTTTTCTCCTATTTAAATGATTGCTCCAAAAATCTTTACAGGCAATGTGACATTCTGAGATTCAGTTAGGAAAAGAAGCTGAAATCTTATTTGTATTTTAAATACATTTTTTATCAACAAAAACAGAACTCAGATTTCACTATTCCCATTTACATTATATTTACATATTTTAGAGGAACTTCCCTTCACTTGTATAATTTCTTTACTGTATATAACACACCTGTTTTGAATACACTATTTCTTTTCTTCTCTGATTTTATTTCTCATCTGCTGCTGTGAGAGATTATCTTCATAAAGCAGCTAAGTCAGCATTAAAAAACAATGAAATGCAAGCAGATATGGTATGTGAATCTCAAGTATTCTTTCAGAATTTTTAAATAGACTTATTGATTAGAAATATTTACACATATTTTGTCTTTTGTTGCATGATGTCAAACTTCAGTATGCTAGGGCCCTCAACAATATTTAATTTTTAAGAAGTTAAGACACCAGTAGAAAGTAACATTACTGATATATAAATTGAATGATCTAGTGTGTCACTTGGGACAAAGTAGGGCTCAAATATATAACAACCTAAATCTCTGGGCCATCTCTCAAGCTTTGAGCTTCTAAGAGCATATGTAGTTAAAAGAAAGGATAGCTCCCTCAAGCAAACAAAACTCAAGAGAAAATCAGCTTCCATTTATAATGGTTTTGTTTATTTATGAAATCATACCTTTCATGAAGGTCTAATGCAACAACTATCTCTTCAAGAATCAAAAGACAGAGTTTTTATCATACTGCACTGAAAAACACATTTGGAGGAATCCTTTAAGAAGGATTACCCCATTTAATTTCATTGCAGAAATGCGGTGCTATCCATTTAGAAAGCATTTTCAAATTAAAACACACAAATGACAAAACCAATTATCATGCTGGCTAGTAAGATATAACTTATTGTTATTTTTCTATTACAATATTTATTGAGAAGCATAATCTGAAGGAATATGCAAAACCCATCAAGCTTGCTTCCATCAAGCAAACATCTATGTTGTACATTTCACAGTTATACTTAAAAAATGAAAACTAAAAAGGTTCTAAGATCCTGATCACACAATAATTGCGAGAAGGCCCATCTATCTCTCACTTTATAGACAATATTTTAGCTTCAATTAAAATCAGTGGGAATATGTCCATTGACTTCAGATTCAGGAATTTTAGAGTCTAGTTCTGAAGGCAGATGCAGTCCTGCAGTGCAGTAAAGGTCTCAGCAGATAGTGCTTCTAATGGATTTTTAAAAGATATTTTAATGAAGAGAGAGGAAGCAAATTATTTTGCCGTATGCAAAAGAAGTGGCTTTGATTTTTCTTCTAAAGTGAACTTATTGTTTCTCCAAATACAGATTGAGCATGATATTCTCATTTTATTTTAAGTATTTTTAACAAAAGAATTGCAAAAATTTTTGTTATGATAAAG